TAGAAATATTTGACAGGCTCAAATTTTGTCGGCAGTTTGGTTTTTATTCATCTGGCAGTCTGGGTATTTTAGCAGTCAAGACAAGCTTCACTTTCAAGAAGAAGTTTGAAAAACACTTCCCAAGCTTGCATTGTGCCATGTTGTTTCAATTTTCAAAGTTATTTCTTGATGAGGAAAAGTAGTTGCAAAGACTTGATGTCTCTTCTCAAATACGCAAAAATCGAGGTTTCCTGGCACCTGTCCAAATAACGGCACCTGTCCAAATATATTCGCTTCTACTACCAGATAATAGTTGGACTATCCTGCTAGTTTTCTCGTTTAGATTTGAAACATGGTTGACCGGCGTAAGGTCTAAGGCCTAGAGAAGCTGCGAGCCTCGTTCTTACGGAAGTAGCATGAAAGCACAAACACGAGCAGTTCCTAAATATCAGTGTTAGAAAGTAAAAGTCTTTCCACAAACAGGCTTTTGTTGAAAATCTTGCTTTAAATAAAGACGCTAGCTGCCTACCCTGTCCCAATTAAAAATCAACTTATAAGAAGTCTCACCAGTCTCAACGGCTTGCTTTGCTCTGGCTCTACGGGCCACTGTGACTGTGCAATACACGGCCTTACTGGAGAGCCAGCCTCAGTATTCTTGCTTGCGAGGTAAGTATTCCAAATCTTTTTTCGAATAAGAACAAATATTAAAGCGTTACAGTTTGCTGTTATATTCTATCGTGTGCGTTAAAAGTATTCTTAGGAAATTAACTTTGAAATAAGAACAGACACTAATTTGAAAATTTTACTGCAATGCCATGGTCCAAGGAAAAAAATGGTTTTGCAAAATTTTGAGCTTTAAACCGTTCAGCAATAAATCAAACAGAGCAGTGCTTGTTAATTTAAAATTCAAAATCAAAAAATTGCATTTTAGGTGCTTGTTTGTATCCAGAAGCCGAGATGCTAATCACATTCACGTTGCTAGCAATTTTTCAACCATATTATAGGTTAAAAAACCACGATAATCAAAGTAACTTGCTAGAGTTTTTAAATACTTTACCCGGGTGATGGCAGGAGTGGTGTTACCAGCAATTAGTTCAATCTTTTCTTTGTTGGTAAGAAACAGCTTCTCAAACGGGCTTTCGCGCGTGCAAATTTCCGAGGATACAATAGCAAAGCTACAATTGAACAAAAGAAAGGTAATATTCAGTCAATAATGAAGACAAAACATCAACCGAACGTCGCAATATCTCATTAACAGAATAACAAAACACTTTTGTGCATAATTTATCAAAACCATGTTTGAATCACCTGTAGACATCTCCTTCCTTTGTGCCGTAGCCAACTTGGTCCAAATTTTGGACACCTGTTTTCAGAATTTCAGGAGCAGTCCATAGAAGGTGACTAAAAGAGACGATGGCAGTACTTCAATGAAAGCCTGCAATAAAAGGCTTTTCTTGTAGCAATAGAAATTGCCTTAATTCTGAACTATTATCATGGAAATAGGCTGCCGTGAAAATGACAGGCAAAGACTGTGGAAAAGCAATAGGAAGATGACAGTGGAGAACTATTAGAACGGCCATGGAAGAAGAGGGCCCACGCCACCGGGGGGAGGCAGGGCATGGCCTCCCAACCTGTTTCCGAAGCAAATAATTTCAAAGCTGCAAAAAAAGTGAAAGAAGCGGTGACCCATACTTTTCTTAGCCTTGCCCCTCTACGTTCAACTTCATGGCATGGGCCCTGAAAAAAATATATAAAGGAAGGCAATAGGAAGAAGGCCTTGGAGAATTATAGTGAAGAATGGCTATGGAGGAAAGGGGTATAATATAGGCTAGAGGAAGATGGCTATGGAAGAATAACAGCGAAGAATGGTTTAATGGGATAGTGGAAGAGGAAAGGCAATAGGAAGAAGACTTTGGAGAATTAAAGTGAAGAATGGCTATGGAAGAAAGGGGTATAATATAGGCTAGAGGAAGATGGCTATGGAAGAATAACAGCGAAGAATGGTTTTATGGGATAGTGGAAGAGGAAAGGCAATAGGAAGAAGGCTTTGGAGAATTATAGTGAAGGAATGCTATGGCGGAAAGAAGAAGAAGAAAGGCAATAGGAGGAAGGCTTTGGAGAATGAAAGTGAAGAATGGCTATGGAAGAGAGGGGTATAATATAGGCTAGAGGAAGATGGCTATGGAAGAATAACAGCGAAGAATGGTTTAATGGGATAGTGGAAGAGGAAAGGCAATAGGAAGAAGGCTTTAGAGAATTATAGTGAAGGAATGCTATGGCGGAAAGAAGAAGAAGAAAGGCAATAGGAGGAAGGCTTTGGAGAATGAAAGTGAAGAATGGCTATGGAAGAGAGGGGTATAATATAGGCTAGAGGAAGATGGCTATGGAAGAATAACAGCGAAGAATGGTTTAATGGGATAGTGGAAGAGGAAAGGCAATAGGAAGAAGGCTTTAGAGAATTATAGTGAAGGAATGCTATGGCGGAAAGAAGAAGAAGAAAGGCAATAGGAGGAAGGCTTTGGAGAATGAAAGTGAAGAATGGCTATGGAAGAAAGGGGTATAATATAGGCCAGAGGAAGATGGCTATGGAAGAATAACAGCGAAGAATGGTTTAATGGGATAGTGGAAGAGGAAAGGCAATAGGAAGAAGGCTTTGGAGAATTATAGTGAAGGAATGCTATGGCGGAAAGAAGAAGAAGAAAGGCAGTAAAAACGAAGGCTTTGGAGAATTATAGTGAAGAATGGCTATGATATGGGAACGAAGGTATATATAGAGAACGAAAGAAAGCATGGTTTATTTGGAAGAAATACAGCGTAAGAATTGGTATATTAAATGGGATACGATGGACAAGAAAAGCGGAAACAACACAGGGCTATATAGGCAACCGAAACAGCTTTGGGAGAATTAAGCTGAAGGAATGCTAATGGCGGAAGACAGGAAGAACAAAAGAAGCATCGCAGTAAAAACGAAGGTTATCGGGAGAATATATATAAACGATGAAGGCATGGCTATGGCGGAAAGAGAAGAAGAAAGGCGTAAAGAAGAGCTTTAGAGAGAATATAGTGAAGCATGGCTTTATGAGAGGAAAAGAAGAAGAGGGAAGGCACAATAGGAGAAGGTTTGGAGATTTATAGTGAAAGATGGCTATAAAGGCCGGAAAAGAAGAAGAAGAAAGCGCAGTAAAACGAAGGCTTTTGGAGAAATTTAGTAGAGACAATGGATAATAGGGGAAAAAGAAGAAGCGAAGAAAAGAGAGATAAAACGCACAAAAGGCTTTGGAGAATTATAAGATGAGACAGGCTATGGCGGAAAGAAGAAGAGCCGCGAAAGCGCAATAGAGAGAAGGCTATTGAGTAGAATATAATATGTGAAGGAATGGCTATGGTTGAAAAAGCAAGAAGAAGAAAGAGACAGGTAGGGAAGAAAGGCTAATGAAAAGAAGTTTTCAGCGAAGATACCAAAACACATAAAACAAAAAGCATTATGCATTAGACAGAGAGCGGTACGATAAATGCCATCTTCTGCTCCGTCCACCAAACATTCAATGTTCAATAACGCGGAACAAAATGTATTTGCTGTTTTTGCCAGGCTGATTTGGAAGATCTTTCCATCCTCACCGAAACTTTCAGTGAACACATCCATATTGGCAAATGCGATGCAAATGAAAATATTGATAAGTAAGGTCAGCATATTCGTTAGAATAGAAACCTAATCAAGCAGAACAATTAGGAGATTGAAGAAACGCAATATATAGATTGGCATACGCTCGAGAGCTGTATACTAATATGTCGGACTGAAGTTTCCAGTTTCTCAATAATATTTTCTTGTAGTGCTCAAACCAGAGCAAGATGCTATTAATGATAGCTTTTAATGTACACTTGCTGTCCATAAGACATTAAGAGGAACAGATTTTAGCCGTCAGATGAGATCACTATTAATCACTTTGATGAAGATAATCGACAAATCACCAAGAGAATGTATGTGCACTAATAAACATTGCACATGAAATTAAATATTTTCATTAGAACTGAAAATTAGAGTTGACTGTGTTTGAAGTTTGTCACGAACATTATGTATAAGAGCAGCAAAGAAATGATTTTGGAGGTAGATTTAATGCTAGAAAACGATCACCTTCATACAAAGAGTACATAAAATCCAGGGCAGTTTTGATCATTTTACTTTGTTTGAGAATGTTGTCCAAACTTCTAGGATGAGAGCGTCCTTCCGTTAGCAGAAACTAGCAAGAAAACAACCTTTGTTTACATTTATTCTTAATTATTTTCGTATTATTAAGATAAGTGGAAAATTGGGTAAATGAGCAGAATGTACGATTGTTGAAGAATTTTTGTGCAGTGCGAGAGGCATTGGCACTATTTTGTTATTTTTGCAGAGTGACGATCTATAGCATGACACATATTCTGGCTTAAAAGCAATGCAATATAGTAGGGCACGGATGTTAGCTTAGCTCATTCTCTCATTTCTTTAAATCAGGAGTATCGAGTGTCTTAGGCCTAGAAATTCTGTGAAACTCACTTATGTAACAATTGTGACTCGCCTTTATATTACAGGAGAATCGCAATGTTCTGAATTATGTTGGCGTTTTCTCTAAGCTGCTTTGCGTGACTGTATTTAGGTTTATAATTTATCAATCTCACCATGCAATATAGAACTAACTCGGCATTTTGCTGAGGAGAAAGGTCGGCGACTGCTAGCGAATCTAAATCGAAACGATTCGAGCAATTATATAGCAGGGATTCAAACTACTTCTAGTCGCTCTATAATTGCTCCTCTATTTACTATGTGCTTGGTCTCACAGGATAGTCCATTGACAATAATGCCATATCTCTAGCCATTCGTTTAGACTAAACAGAGCAATGGGGATACATTAGGCAGCCAGCTCTTCGCATCTTAAACTAGGACCGTTGGTGCGCAAGACAGCTCAACAAAACGACGAAGTTTTGGTGTATCCCAAAGAATTTATAAATCTCAAATCCTTAGTCACGCGAAGTGAACTCTGTTGCACTAGCGATGGTTTGTCTGCACTTCTCTATAGAATAAATATGAGTTATTTCTTATCTCAACTTGTTTCTGAGTCTGATAAAAAAATTAATCAAAAGTATCTAGGGAGAGACAATTGTAGACGAAACACTAATGTCTTTAAAGGATATTAAAGACGACTTGGTCTTTGAACATTTATGGCTGAATACCTCTGCAAATCCATATTTGCAAAAACATCCATAATACATTACTTTTATCGAACAAAAGAGCATTAAACTATAGGCCTTTCTTAAACAAAAAGCGACTAAAACTATAGGCCTATATTTGAGGAGAGCTCACATATCACTAACCATTAATCGTTAACACAGCCTAAGGTTTGCTTAAGCTAGTTTCCTAACAGTGGCGGCATATGATGAAAATATATTTCTTTACTGAAAGTATACTATGTTTTACAAGTCCTGTGTTAGATATCTTGACACTGGGATGTTAGATAGAGATAGACCGACATATATATATATATAGATATATATATTTACCAACAAAAAATAAGAATATAATATACATGAGACAAGATACCAAAAAGAGCAAAATTTTGAAGTAGATTCTTCGGTAGATGATATTATAAAACGCCATTAATTTATAAGGCCATATACTAGTTAGCTAAGACAATGGGATGAACACAAAGATAAACTGGCACGTGGACTCATATGGAAGGTGTCCTTTGCCGAAGAACATCGTTCTCTCTGATCGTTTAATCCGATCTTTTGACTTGGACACGTCACAACCGTCATCGTTAAGCAGCTCTGCCTTTATTTTGGATTAGATGTTGAACCAAGCTTTTTGACTATCAATTATATGTACTATGCTGCAAAAGGGAGAGGTCTAGTCAATGATACTGTTTACCCTTGTGTGTTTCAACTAAATGGAATTCCGCCTCACCACCAACTTATCCAAAATCCACCCAATCTGACAACACAAACAACCCAATTTGAAAACTATATAACGACGCTTCTAGAGGGAACCAGAAAGAATAGTTCGTAATTTAGGAAGTATCGTTAACCGCGGAAGAAAAGCGACGTTATGTTAGTCTTTTTTCGTAAGTAAACCCAAAATCCCTTTGGTGGGCTTGGGTTAGGCTATCTCAACTTCTGTGCGCATTTTACTCAATAAACCAAGCTGGATTCAAAATGAATTTCTAATAGGTTACGATCCAAGAGTTAGTCTGGTCTAGTCATAGCACAATGAAAATCATTATTGTCTTCTCTATAATTTGGGACCCAGACATTGGCAAAGCAGACATCCTTCATATCATTATGTCCTTCTTATAATTTTGGGCCAAGAACATGGCAAAGCGACATCACTCTTTCATATTGTTGGCGGCTGAATTTCGTTATCGACTTACTCTACACTTTCTTTTTTTCTGCTTCTCTCTAGGTTTCTCAATAAAATTTTGTCGTCGCTTTGTTGCAATGTCTCATTTGTAGAGGTGATTACCGTTAGTGGTCGTGTACTCATTGGTATTTTACTGACGGGATCAACTTCCTATCGTTCTGCGTCCATCAGACATGCTGGAAATGAATCATGCAGCAATATTTTGCCGATGATAAATATGATTTCCCAACGAGTAAAGTGATAAATTGAACATAGGAAATCATTCTAAACAATTATATAAAACAAATAGTAAAAATTCTTATAGAAAGTTTCGTTATATCGCGGGTAATTTTGATGAAGGGACTAAAAATTGGTGGTATTAACGAGAAGTTTTTTTAAATATTTCTCCGGAGGGCTTCGATTATAACGGAGAATTTGTAAGGATTCTGTTTGGCAGAATCCAAGGGACTGAACATTTGTTTCGTTTTACGGGAAGTTCGTTATTATATCTTTGAGGGTTCGTATATAGGTTATCGGGATTCACTGCAAATGATTTGGAAGAATAAGCAATAACTGTTCTATTATGTTAAACACACGGCAAATTTGTTTTCAGCTATCTGGAATATATCGGTCCTGCTAAGATTTTTAGCTACAATTGCACAAAAGATCGGGATATAAAAAAGATATAGTATTTTTGGATCAAACGATCTTCACATTCGCATGTAGAAGCTAATGCACTGAGTCATAATAGACTGAAAGTAATGCCAGGACACAATATAATGAGAGAGAATATAACAGACTGTGCAACTTTTCACCAAACGTATGCAGATAATCACAGAGATAGACTACCATCACCAAACTGCCTGAATGAGCATGACGAATTTCATTAATAAAATAACACACCTCCCATGTCCTTAAACGACTATTAGAAGGCTGAATGAGAAAGAATTTGAGACATTGTGATTGCAGCAAGGGAGTTAAGTTAG